TTTGCTTTTTGAAACAGCGTCTCTCTTTGTAGTTGAGGCTGCTGTTGAACTCATTATGTGTAGTCCAGGTTGGCCTAAAACTCGTGGTGATCCTCCTGCCTCAGCCTCTAGAGTGCTGAGGTTGTAGGTGTGTGCCACCATGCCTAGCTACCCCCAGCATTTTTAATTTAAATATTTCCAGTGTTTGTTTGGAGCAGGAGGATGTTGCTTATCTACTATGCTTGTTTTTGAACCTTAAATTATAGTGTTTCAGAGAAATAGCAAGGGAAAGACTAAAACACCAAAAAATTCACACTTTGATCTTCTTAATCTTTTGTTTGTTTACCGCAAGGTGCAAAAATATGGTTCCGGCTTCAAAGAGGCTTTCCATACACAGATCACCTAATGTTCTTACACTTTCTCTGAAACGCTTTGCAAATTATTTTGGTGGAAAGATTTCTAAGGTACGTAGATGATGCTATTAAGAAGCTTTTATGTGAAGCCAAGACTTAAGTGCCAGTAGCTATTAAGGATTACAAATGACCTAATGAACAATTTGTTGATTGACTTTATAAGCTTTTCTTGCATTGGATAGCAGGGGAAAGAAGTCAAAGTATTGAGTTAAAAGTTGGTCTGTGTGCTTATGACTATATATGTGTTTACTGTACTCCTCGGGGGGAGGCTGTCAGTGATAAAATTAGGAACTCAGCTGTGTTTCAGCTTCATGGTCAATTCTTTGGTATCCATGATAATGGGAGGATACAGGGAGTACATGGACAATTTGAAACCCAAAGAGGACTTCCCCGCTAGATCTTGCCTCTCTTTCATCAAAGTTTATTTTCTTGTTTTCTGATTTTTCACTTACACTGAATTTTCCTATTTTCTTCTCACTTACTGAAGGTTGAAAGGGTCCAAAATTCAATAGCAAAGCTGGGCATGGTGCACTCGGAGGCTAAGGCAGGAGAGTAGGAGTCTCGGGCCACGCTGGGCTACATAGCGAGTTTAAAGCCAGCCTGGTCTACATAGTGAAGTCTTATTTCAAAAAACAAGTAAAAAATGCAGTGACATAGAAGAGAAATAACTAATACATTCTTAAATTATTCGAAGTGGCCTGGCAGGGTGGCATATGCCTGTCATCCCAGCACTGGGGGCTGAGGCAGGAGGACTGCTGCAAGTCAGCCTAGGCTACACAGTGATTTCAAGGCCAGCCTGAACTGCATAGGAAGACCCTTTCTCAAAAAACCAAAGTAATTAATTAAAATAATTGGTGGTGAATGTCCAGAGTTGTCATTTTGTGACTGTCTTGCATCATGGATTTGATATGTGATAGTCACAGTGGATCCTTACTTAAGGAAATTAAGGACAGCGAGAATGCCTTCACTACCCTTAGATCAGGTGTCTTCCAGGTTAATCGTGTCCTTTGAAAAGTGATGAAATGCACTGGGTTTCTGCTGGAACATCACTGTGCAGCGTTGTGCGG